TCCTTCCTTCCTTCCTTCTCTCTCTGTCTCTCTCTCTCTCTCTCTTCCTCTCTTTCTTTCTTTCTTCTTGGTCATGTCGTCCCGACGATGCCCCGCGGGACCCCGCCGTCCCGTCGCGACCGAAGCTCAGATTGCTTTTATACCGTGGATTGATTGACAATATACTTACGTTAGGCGAGTGGACCGTACAGTTATGGAGACGGCCATCTACCTTCTACCCTCCCACATCCCTTATCCTCACTTACTTCCTCTTGTTCCAATCTAAACGCGACCCTCTTTCCAGTACCGGGACATCGCTGCGGGACGCTCGTTCCACCTTTCTTCCTCTTTTCTCTCTTTCTCTTTCTCTCTCTCTCTCTCTCTCTCTCTCTCCTTCTCTTTTTCCAACCAGAATAAACCATTATCAGGAAAATTTCTGGATGCAAGGGAAAATGTTCCTGCCACGATATGCTTGCCCTGTGGACTCGGCCGATACCGACAAAGCTTTTATCGTGTTATATACGCTATTACTCGATACATACACATATATGTATATGTATATATATATATGTACGCGTGTGTTTATATATGTATGTGTATGTTTGTGCGCGGGGGTACGTCGTTTTAACTCTACGTTCCGTGAGTGTTCACTTTTTCCCCTGTTGTTCTTTCTTTCTTTTTTCTTCTTCTTTTTTTTTTTTTTATTTTGCTCCTTTCCCTTTTTCTTTTTTTTTTCTTTTTCTTTTTTCTTTTTTCATTCATATCTGCCGGAGAACTCCAATCCACCAATTGTTTTTCATTATTACTTTGTTGTTCAATCTTTTGTCATATCTCTTATACATATATCCATCCCTCCCTCCCTCACACACACACACACACACACACACACACACACACACACACACACACACACAGATTGGGAATATCAATGATTAAATAAGACAACGATAATAATTATCGAACATAATTAATTGTATGAGATCTTTAGTTATTTGGTGAAACAAAGTTGGAAAGTTATCTTTGAAATTTCATGAAAGGAGATAGAAAGAAAGGATAGACAGATAGATAGATAGATAGATAGATAGATAGATAGACAGATAGATAGATAGATAGATAGATAGATAGATAGATAGATAGATAGATAGATAGATAGATAGATAGAGAGAGAGAGAGAGAGAGAGAGAGAGAGAGAGAGAGAGAGAGAGAGAGAGAGAGAGAGAGAGAGAGAGAGAGAGAGAGATAGAGATAGAGAGACAGAAATAGAGTGTTGATACTGTTGAGGCTTAATAGTGGTAGTAAGCTTGTGATAGTACTATTCAATGAATTCAGAATGCGTTTGGCCAGTCTCCTTCTAGCTCTTTACCCTCTCCTCTACCTTCCCCATTCCCGGAAAAGACGTATGAATCGTCGTCGGATGGTTGCGCTTGGCTCAACGTGGGACACTTTAGAGCTTATGTCCTCGGAATACATAACGCCGGATTTCGAGGATATTCTTTTTTTTCCTTATACTTTTCTATCTATCTATCTATCTATCTATCTGTTTATCTATCGATCTATCGATCTATCTATCTATCTATCTATCTATCTATCGATCGATCTATCTGTCCATCTATACTATCCTTATATAAGTAACTCAGCTCGCTAAGACTTTTTACCGATATAACTCATCTTTGAAAATCTAATCTCCTGCGAACTAACGGCCTGAGAGATCCTCGAGAAGAATTTTCGGTGCAACGTATGAAAATCGCCTGTTCGATTTAAAGAAACCAGGCATCCTTAACGTTTCTATCTCTCTCTCTTTCTTTCTCTCTCTCTCTCTCTCTCTCTCTCTCTTTCTCTCTTTCTCTCTCTCTTTCTTTCTTTCTTATAGACGATCCTCGATGTATATTGAAATATTTGAGAAATATTCGATGGAATTCATTGGATTCTCAAAAGGGGTAGAGAAAGAGAGGGGAGTGGGAGGAGGGGAGAAGGGGAGGAGTGGCAAGGGGTTTAGGAAAGAGCTGGCTTTCGAAATTCCTTAGCTCAGGCGATATTGATAATAATGTTTCGTACGGGCTATTAAATGATGAAAATCGAATTTTCAAATCGTTTTCTATATAAAGAGATGAGTTCGCGAATATGATGGGTATGTATTGCGATCGTTCATTTTTAAGTAAAATTTTCGAAATCAATGCGCATACATATTTTGTATTTCTTTTTTATTTATTTTTTTTCTCTTTCTTTCTTTCTTTCTTTCTTTCTTTCTTCCTTTCTTCCTTTCTTTCTTTCTTTCTTTCTTTCTTTTGGATTTTTTTTCTTTTTCTCTTCTTCTTCTTCTTCCTCCTTTTTTTTTCCTTTTTTCTTTTTTTTGCTTTCTTTCGCAAAACTTTTCTAGAAAGGAATTTGAGAACGTCTGAAACTTGAGTTTCGATGTATGAAAGGGCTCGAGGATTTCCGATGATGGCGGCTCTCTCTCTCGTTCTCTCCCTTTCTCTCTCTCTCTTTCTCTCTCTCTCTCTCTCTCTCTCTCTCTTTGTATATGTGTGTGTGTGTTAGAGCGTGTGTACGTAACGGGGAATTACTTGTTCGAAACGGCGCGAAGTGTGGAATTTCACTCTTGAAGTTTTCAACGACGGCACTTAACGCGATTCCTTTCGATTGCACGAAGTTAGGTAATACCGAGACAACTGGCTTAGGAGTAGCATTAGTTTCGAAGATAGATTAAGTCTTTATCGTTGTGAAAATTCCATCCGTATTTGCTATATTTGCTTTCGGAAAAGTTACATTCTGAACAATAGCGTCACAAGGTTCGTCGTCTTTCTATCTCCATCTTTATGTATGTGTGTATGTGTTTTAATATAAAGTTGATGGAATATGAGCAAATAAGAAAAATAAATAAAAAAAATAAAAGGAATAAAAGAAACTAAAGAAAAAAAAAAAAAAAAAAATTGTAAATAATTACACACACACACACACACACACACACACACACACACACACACACACACACACACACACACACACACACATATATATATATATATATATATATATTTTGTATTTCTCTCATTTTTCTTACTTCGTATTTTTTATTATTTTTTTCGCATTTCACGATCTTTCGCAAGGACTTGAAGAATTCATTCGACGAAAAGTGCACGCGATAAGTATCTCTACTCTTGTTTTTTTTTTTCTTTCCTTTTCTTTTCTTTTCTTTTCTTCCCCATTGAATTCTTTTCTTTTTTCTTTCTTTTCCCTTTTTTTTTTCCCCTTTTTTTTTCTTCCTTTTCCACGAAGAAGAAACTATGAAATTAAAGTGGAGTCTAGGAATAGACGTATACTCTAGGAAATTAGCCGTCCTAGTCGTCAAGGAGGTATACACGAAGGACTATCGTGTCCTTCCTTTCTATACACTCTTAGAACGTACGACCCAGATCGACTTTCTTTTTGCTTCGCTTAAGAGCACATCGACGTTGGCTCAGACTCCACCCTGATCCGCAAATATTGGCCATACCGTAACAGCGCGTCGTAAAAATCACTTGATTATAATCCCTCCATCCTTATCGTATTGAGAACGAGAGAGGGAGAGAGAGAGAGAGAGAGAGAGAGAAAGTGAAAGAGAGAGAAAGAGAAAAAGAGAGAGTTAGTTTTTTTTGACAATGAATAAGTTTGCGATTACAATTTTTTTTTTTTTTTTTTAAATTAATATTAATCACTGTCTCATCGAGAATAATATCTTATACGTGTGTCTTATTTGATATACTTTTATTATTATTAATTGAAGGAAATTGCGATGAAAACTTATTATTCTTCATTATTTCTTTCTTTTATCCACTTTTTCCTGTATCATTCTCTTTCGTTTTAGAATTGAATTTTTCTTTATAATTAATTAATTTATTTCGAGGTTGACACCGACACGGATCCACATCCTCACACGGATCCGTGTGATATATGTCAGGTCTGAAACGTCGAGTTTCGTCGGTGCAAGGTGCCAATACGCCGATACACCATCGACCCCATTTTCTTCTACGAAATGAAAGTAATTTATTGTCCTTTTTACGAGCTCTTTCTATATCTACGGGGATACCAAGGGGGATATAAGAATAGAGTTGCCCATCGTTGTGGTTTATATCGTTAAAAGGGGCACCACGTATTTACGTACACGTACATATAATACGTATATACATACATATATAGATACATACATACATACATAAATATGTGTATACGTAAATGCATAGTTGACAGATTTTCATTGTTTTCGTTGATTTTCTAACATCGATCGATCTGTTATTTCCTTTCGAACGTAAGTTTAACTTTTGAAATAATACGATAAAGAAATATCAGAAATAAGTAGTATGTTTATTATGGGAAGGTGGGAGGGAAGGAAGAGAGTGGGATCAGGTAGGTGAGTAAGGAGGCGGGAGATGATAAGGGGGTAGTGGTGAGTCCTCACGAAATAGCGTAAAGAAGTAATTCAGTTAAGAAGAGATTAAGAGATAAAGCGTTTCTGCGTTTTATTTACCATAAAGCCCGTGCCGGATTAATCCTTGGCGCGATGAGAAAGATAAGTTTTATGTGTTTTCCGGATATAAGATCGGAAAGTTTGTCGATTGCGTCGAAGGAATTTTTTAATTATCCCCCATTTAATCCTGCGATCGTCTCAAGAACATTTTCTTTCTTTTCTTTTTTTCCTTTTTCTTTTCCTGTTTTTTCTTCTTTTTTTTAGGATTTTTTTTTTTCTTTTTTGATCTCATCTCGAGATACAACAGCGAAGAGAACAAATAATACGAAAATTATGAAAACAATATTATCAGTATAATTCGTCGTTTATTTCTATTCTAGATCATTATTATCATCATCGTTATCATCATCGTTATCATCATCGTTATCATCATTTCATCATCATCATCATCATCATCATCATCATCATCATCATCATCATCATCATCATCATCATCATCATCGATATAATTTGTTGTTTCGCTAATACACGTTAATAATTTCTTTTCTAATTCCTCTTCTATCTCTTTCTTTTTTAGATTCTTCTATCTGTATCACTTCTCCTTCTACGCATATCACTATCGATTTAATGGACAGTACAGTAGCCTGGCATTGGTGACATCTTGGCTGTTCATACAGGTAAGATGACATATTTCTACTTTAAAAGAAAAAAAGTAACACTGATATTTTAATATTACGTTTAATGATTCGATACTATGTTTATGACGAACTAGTCAGTCGATTGATCTCATTTCTTTTATATTAACCATTTGAGCCTGAAGCAATTAATCGACGTTATGTCGTTACATACCGACGTACATAATATTTTTATCGTTTCGGCTACGCGACAAAGGTATCCATTTTTATTTTTTTCTTTTTTTTTTTATTTTTTATATCCAACCAAAAGGTATGTTAAAAGAGAAAAAAAAATGTCGAGGTTTGTAGCCCGTTAGATTAGGTCAGATTAGATCATATTAATCAATTATTATCTTGGAGCATGCAAAGAGTTTAAAATATAAACAATAAATCGCGATAAAGAGTACGATTAAGAGAGTGACCATGAGAAAGAGAGAGAGAGAGAGAGAGAGAGAGAGAGAGAGAGAGAGAGAGAGAGAGAGAGAGAGAGAGGGAGAGAGAGAGAGAGAGGTTGGTAGGACTGGATGAAGGACAAGAGTATCAACGCAAGATGAGGCAGAATGAAGGAAGGAGCGAATTATTGTGGAAAGGGTAACGCAAACGCGAAGAACGTGAGTGAGTGAGTGAGTGGGACGACAAGGTAGGAGTGGATGGATTGGGTTGGGTTGGGTTGGGGTGAGGTGGGATGCAACGTGAAGGGAACCAGTGAGTAGGTGCGGGGTTGGTTGGTGAGGGAGGAAAAGGAGGAGAGGAAAGGAGGCGGTGGAGAAGAGTGGGCGGGGGGATACTTTGCGAGAGAGGCCATTCGTCGATGGTGGGAGTCTGCGATTGACAGCGGCGGCAGGACGAAGAGCGTGGTCGCAGTTCTATAGCCTAGAGCCTCGCTATCGTTCAAACGTAAGTTACGTAAACGCAAGCGGTACAATGCTCCTGACAGCTCGATCGATGGAAGTAATTTAATGCGTACCTCGTGGCAGCAGGCGAGCACGGTGTACATTTGTACACGCAAGGAAGAAGGACATCCCCGAAGGATTTACGCGCGCTCCCGCGCTCGTGCGTCAGCGCGTGAAACTTAGGATACTTGTAACATTATCGCGAGGATATCTTGTAAACACGTTCGCTGACTTGAAACGTTATTATTATCATTTTCATCTTGGATTTGAATTAAATAGAAATAACTAAGGGATCCTGGGAATAATCGAATTTGTCTTCAAATCTTAGATTTATCCTTGGGTATGTCTTGTTAACATTCATATTGAACGTTATTATTTTTCGTTGGGTTACGTACGATAGGTTGGATCTTTCCTTTTTTTTCTTTTTCTCCATAGAAGGATCGTATTGTCCACTTGTATCGTTAATGCGAGATAGTTGTAGGAAATTGAGTTTTTTCTTTCTTTTTATCTTTCTTTTCTTTTTTTCACTTTCTCTTCTTTTTTCTTTTTCTTTTTCTTTTTTTTTTTCTTTTTTATATTTTTATTGAAGAATTATTCCCCGCAATAGAGCAGAGAGATAATCAAATTGTAGATATTATCTGAGAATATATTTGGTAAAATAATTGTATCTATTTGCGAAGAAAGGATTCGATTTATTTATTAATCGGTGAACGCAGATGCATTGTTCCTTTTTTATTTTTTCTTTCTTTCTTTCTTTCTTTCTTTCTTTTTTTTTTCTTTTTTTCCTTTTTATGAGGGATTAGGTACACGATCGATGGAAGGATCGTACATAGGATGTAAACAAATCGATCGGCGTTCTTATAATCGGCCAGGTATATAATCCAGTTCGGATAGCGCGCACTTTGAAAAGCCAATAACTCGTAATTAGATTATAGCGATGGCTGGTATTAACACACGGGTATTGTTATAATGGCATTACAAGAGGTAGTCGTATGCGTTAATAGCTACGTTCGACATTTACTGTATATATTTTCCCGTGGAAAAATCGAATTGCCATTAAAGTGTAATGGAGTGGATAATTAATCGGCGAAAGATGTAAATTAATAATGCGTCCTGGTAAAAGTGGGTAGAACATTCTGAAGAAGAAGAAAAAAAAAAAAAAAAAGAAAACAAGAAACAAACAAAAATATTTCTTCGTTCGTTCGTTCTTTCTTTGTTACTTTGTGTTTATTTTTTTTTTTTTTTCTGCAAAATCATCGTCCAGATTGGACATCGATTAAATCGATCGTCCGATCGTAAATTATACGCCGAAGTTAACGAGTTTATGAGTGTCTCGTGTCGTTGGAAAATTCAAGTGGCCCTAAGGGCTCGCCTCGTGGATTTAGCGACCGCAACGACGACGACGGCGATGACGACGACGACGGCGGCAGCAGCGTCGACATCGTCGTCGGCGGTGACGATGGCGATGGCGATAGCGATGGCGATGGCGATGGCGATGGCGATGGCGGTGACGGCAACAGCAACGAGATGACACGCGGAGATCGTTTTGATCCGCGACTGCTTGTTGGACGGGCAACATCCACCCCCTCCTCTTCTCTCTCTCTCTCTCTCTCTCTCTCTCTCTCTCTCTCTCTACCGTTGTCACAGATCAGGCTTTCTCGTTGGTCGATTATTAGCCTTCGGGCGTGATTATATGCCGGCCGATATCGGTGTCATCGGCTCACCGATTATACGGCAAACGAAAATTCGATTTCCTCTGGGGCTACTTCATCCCTCTTCTCCTTTCCTCCTTTTACCAACCAACTAAACCCCCCCCATCCCCTGCCCTCTTCAGCCCCCGTTTCTCCTCTTCTCCATTTCACTCTCTTTACAACCCCCAACCGTGCCGCCTTCTTCGTCTGTCCGTTCGATGCGTTTCTTCTTTCCTCCATATTTCTTTATTTCCTATTTTTCTTGTTTTCTTTTTTTCTTTCTTTTTTTTCCCGTTTCTTTTTTTACACGTTCATCTTCTTATTTTCAGAACGACGCAAAATCGTTCCCTTCTCGGCGACGAATCACTCGGGATACCATTTCCTTCCCGTCGCCGACAGGTGCCCGTTCTCGAGATATCTATTTTCAATACTCCAACATCCCTTACTTTCCCTTTTTCTATTTTCGTTCTTTTTGGTTTGGTTTGTTTTTTTTTTTTTTTGGATTTATTTTTTTACCTTTTTTTCCCTTTTCTTTTTTTTTCCTTTCTTTCTTAGCTTCAACTTCTTTGATCCAAATGTCGCTTCAAAAATTCTAATTGGTGATTATACTCGAAGACGAAGAAAAGAAAAGAAAAAAAAAAAAAGAGAAAAGGAAAAAGAAAAAGAAAAGTTAAATTTTTGTCTCCTATTATTTTTCCGTTCTTTCATTTTTTTTTCTCTCTCTCTTTTTTTTTATCGATTCTTTTTTTTCCTCTTCTTTTCTTTCTTTTCTTTTCTTTTTTTTTTTTTTTTTTTTTTTTCTTTGAAACATAGTTAAGTGTTAAAATACGATAGAACGTATGCGTGTAGGTATGTGCGATATGGTAGAAAATTACAATTGCGAGGAAGGCTCGATCGAGAGCAAACGAGAAAGAGAAAGAGGGATTGATGGAGAAGATAGAGAGGTGGATGTTATGGTGTTTCTGTCTGTGCGTATGTGTGTGTGTGTGTGTGTACGTTTATGTGCGCTCACTACACATGCTACATAGCTCTCCTCGGGGCTCGGGACGAAAGAGAGCGTCGGCATAGAACGAATTTGGCGAATTTCCATATAAATTTGCTGGCCGAGCGCGACACAGAAGCTTCGACCGGGAACAACCGGGCACCGCATCGGTCTCTCTCTCTCTCTCACTCTCTCTCTATTACTATCTTTATCCTACACCACAGACGAGATATAATATGGTAGAACGTTACTTCTGTTTGCCACGAACGGACAAAACAACGTTCAACAATCTGGCTTCGATAGATTCGTCGTGTTCCTTATACTTCATGATTTCTCTCTCTCACTCTTACTCTCTCTTACTCTCTCTCTCTCTCTCTCTCTCTCTCTCTCTATATATATATATATATATATATATGTGTGTGTGTGTGTGTGTGTGTGTGTGTGTGTACTAACTGATATCGTACAATTTCAAACTTGTGTTAAATAATTTATTAAATTTTGATTAACAGTATGTTAGATTAACGAGATAATAACAAGCATTTATAAAATGGGATACCAATATAAATATCCCTTTTCTATTTTATGAGTATTTAAATGATATTCGAATTTGGATAAATTAATTTCAATTCGTTAGTTTCGATACCAATTTTCATTTATGATACGTTTATTTTGAAAGCGATTTAAAGCCAATTTTTGTTATTCTTTGTCTATAAATTGATTTGAGATATGAAAAGATCAAAAAAAAAACAAAAATTGTAGTATTGTAACTGTTATAAACTGTTAACTTGATTTAATTATATATGATACGATTAAATTTTAATATATTTTACTTGACACACATACACACACATATACACACATACATATCTGTATTCTATGTAAAATCATTGAAAAAAATATTGATGAAATATAAGAGAATAAAATTATTGTAAAATCGTTTAATAGAACGTTCGTGTCGATGGGAAACGATTATTACGTTAACGAGGTGAAAATGAAATAAATTTAAAAAAAAAAAAAAAAAAAAAAAAAAAAAAAAAAAAAAAAAAAAAAAAAAACAAAGAAAAAAAAAGAAAGAAACAAAAACAAAAAAAAAGAACAAAAAAAGAAGGAAAAATAAATGAATAAATAAATAAAAGGAAAATAAAAAAGAAAGAAAATAAAATAAAATTAAAAAAAAGAAAAGGAAAAGAAAAAAAAAAGAATAAGTAAAAAATAGAAGAAATAATCTCGTCCTTTTCTTCTTCTTTTTAGCACTCGATGTTGTACTTCTTCCATCATTACGAATTACCGGTGATACTGCAGCAGGCACAATTGCAACAACTACTCCTACGCAATCC